CACCTAACAAATGTTCTAAAAAGGTGTCCTCCACCAACAAATAGTTGGGAACCCCTGACCTATAGCAACATTTTCCAGGAATAAAGTATTGCGAACCTCATGAAAAACATTTTCTTTATTACGCAACTAATGAACCATTGTTTACTGGACGAAATAATTAGCCTTATTTATTAACCTATGTACCGATCGAGGCAAAGAAACCTATTTTTACAAAGAATGGTCTTTTTGCTCTTATTTTAATTTGACCTTCATTTAGGAAGACGTACCTACATTAGCGTAACCTTGAAAAAAAAACATGAACTTGGTTTTTTATACGCACCGTACAGTTATTGGTAGCTTAATAATGTATTGGGGGTTAAAACCCCACCGTTCTTACCCACTTTGTTATTCTGTACATGGCTGTTTACATGCAAAAGATTTTTATGTGTATGAGATTTCATTTTTTATACACACCAAGTGTAAGACTCGTTTGGACTTTTCCTTTATAGGTAAGTAACGTTGTGTAGTCACTTCCAATTGAATACCAATTAAGAAAATTAAGAAATGTCATGTTTAATTTAAAAACTAATCTTCTACGTACCCATTGATTTCATTCTACCAGAGCAATGGAGACTACCCTTTTTTGACTCACCAGGTGGCGTAAGTGTTGGAGTAGCCTTTTATGTCCAATCACAGCAGCTGTCAAATATTAAACGTCCAATGATGAGACTCTAGGTCACTCCTTATTGGACGAATAACGAGTGGTTCACACTAGCGCCATTTGGTGAGCGAGAATACGATACCATTGACAGCTGCCTGCTAATAATTTCATCAACTTTATAGAACTTGTGGTAAATAAAGTTACAAATACGGTAGAACAGAAAAATGGAAACTAATTGCTTTGAAATATCGTAATAGGTAATGTCATCCACTTACCTGCACAATATCATGCACCAGAGACGTTCTAAAGTTCCAGTCCAGCTGCAGTTCATCATTAGAGAGGACGTCCTTCAGGGACCCCTTGGGACAGTACTCCGTCAGCACAAACACCAAAGGACAATCGACGCACGCGCCTATGAATCGGGCCGTGTTCTCGTGGGACACATTTCGAGCCTAGGAGTACAATCATATTTATTATTGGCGAGGAAAAAGAAAAAGAAGTATATGTTATCATCATTAAATTGCTACGTTGTTCAAGTAGCCTCGTGTTTCTCGAATCGGATAAAGCATTTATTCGAATTCTTTAGACGTTTCGACTCAAAACATAACTGGCAACATTAAGGTGTTACCTTTCAAATTATAAACGTTTACCTCTGCCTTTAGGGACTAAAATGCGGATCATTCTATTAAGATAATTCAATATTATTGAACATTGCTTACACCGCAAGACACCCTTGACAAACATAAGTCCAATATTCAATTACCGTATCTATGCACTTTATCGAGAAGTTATCCTCAAAGAGATTTGGTTACAACATCGGGAACAGATTCCAAGAACTTCTGTTACTTCGAATTACCACTTCTAGGTAATGTGACAACTTTGTGACGTCACATTTGATCGTCATATAAATGATACTGTTTAGTCACTTGAGAATACACTTGTATTAATATTGTATCATCAACAACAACTTACTATACGTACTCAGAATCACACAGAGAGTTTTTTATAACTAATGTATCCAGTTCATAGGAACAAAGGAGAATTCCCGAAAACACCAGAGTCGATTAAAATCATGCATGAACAGTATAATAGACCATAAGTAAGAGGTTACAAATACGATATTCGTTTTGGTCTAAACCGTAACCGAACGGGCCAGGAGCCTGCAGAATAAGACATGTTTTATTGGCGCGTGAATAATTATCATTTTTTTGGTTCTATGTTTGTTCCAACACTAATAAAGGCAATGAAGAATACAGTTAATAATTACATTTACAAGAATCACAAACAAATCCCTAAACATATAGGATGTATCAAGATTATCATACCATGATGTGATTTTGTTTAGAAAACCAGTATAAACTGACTGTTAAAATTGTGGTAAGATCATACAAATAGAGACCGTGATATATTAGTATAATTTTATTATCTGGTGATGGTTTCATAAGAATAATTATTGAATTTGTGATTTATTGTGTATATTTTACCTTGCCACATATAAATAATTTTAATCGATTCTTGGTTTTTTTTGTTGACGTTCAAAAGTGCCTTTCTGGTCTAATTGAAATAAATGATTTTGACTTCGACTGTGACTTGGCTTAGAGTATTTAACCAAATTCTTGGTATTTGCTCCATACATTTTTGGACATCGTCCTTTAATATTTCCCTTATTGAAATCTGCAGAAAGTTAGTTATAAATGTTACTGGACCTCATCAATACACCAGTAAAGCTATCATGTCATTTATCACCTTCGGCTTTTAGATATAACGATATAATGCACAGCATTTCAACGTTTTCGACCTTGCTCCTCTAGCAATAAAGTTAATACTCCAATATGACACAATATCAATCAATCAATCATCCATTTGTGAGCAAAAGATCCATCATCGTAATTAGTAATCTATTAATTGAGGGTGAGACGTCAGCTTTGTGTACACATTCATTAAATACTGCAGATACACTCGTTCAATATACAATATCATACGAACGTTTTTCCTCAAAGGAGATCAGATATTAATTAATTTTATTTGAATTATCTGACGTACAGTGTACTGTACAGTCTAACTTTCAAAGTTAATTGAAAATGGTTGTAAATATATTTTGAGCCATAAACACAACGAAATTTTCTATCATCATCGCATACCTGACGTGTACGACTCCAGCAAGGCTCCAGCAAGGCGTTTTTTGGCACAATATAAAATGACTTTTTATATACAACATACGATTTAAAGTTCAAATTTAAATGACAATGACATTGCTGGGTTGGAGCCGTGCTTGTTAAGTGAGTGATGACTAAATACCCGGTAGTCATGCTCACAACAATCATATCATAAACTACACAGTGAATAGGGTAGTTTCATAAATTTTATTTTAATGTCCGTTTGGTAGATTATTTTAAAATATTAGACACGTATTTTTTCTTTTCTCACAAAATTAAATGCTTTTGACGATATATTGATTTGAAATGTCGCGTGACGTCACAGCGTGCTACAAAATGTACCACGTTATGATGTAATTACCTCCCACTCCTAAACTTAACGCCATTTTATTTAAGTATTGTAACTTTATACGAGAAAATAAAAAAATACGTGTCTAAAATTTTTTCATTATCTAACTGACGGACTAATTATTTTTAATTTTCTTACCTTGGAAACTACCCTATTGTTACTCACCTGTTTAATCTCCCAGAGTAATTTCTTATTAAGATCCAACTTTTTCCTGTGAATTTTCTTCACTGCCACCCTGTTCCCTTTATAGAGGCCCACGGTGAAGGAAGACAGGGTGAGTGATGGAGTGCCCAGGGTAGATGCTGCTCCGGTACTGCCACGAGCACTCCAACCCAGCGAAAGCTATTATAAATAAAAGAGAGAAGATTTATTAACGATATTGCTAAGTTATTCATGATTTACAGCTTATTTTTTTAACCGTTTGACGAGGAAACTCGTTTAGTTTCAATGTACGTTCGGGGCTCATGTTCATGAGCAACTTTACGCGGTTAACATTTCGTACCACAAAAGAGTAACGTGAGTAACGTCCGCATACTGAAAGGCTTCTCAATTTTAAGTTGTACTTAAATATCGTACCATCTCTGAGTACTAGACTATACTATTGTGGATGTACCAGTTTAAGTTTTAAAGTAAATAAATGAACAATAATATTTATATATTTTTTTATAAACCACGTAAAAGACCAATAAGTACTCAGGTAAGTAAGTTATTTTGTAAAGGTTAATAACATCTGAATATGACATACAAAGACAAGCAAATTGCTTAATTAGCGTTGAGTCGATTAATTACCAGAACGCTGTCATTAGGAAATGTTTGTTGTAGGATTACGAAATGGAACATAAAATATGTATAGGCAATACATTTGTTTACCAAATAAATGTAAACATTTTGATAGTAATTCGAAGATAAATACTATGTGACCACAGAGAAAAGAACTGTATTTCGTTATTAAGTTCAGAAGTTTGGGAGTTGATCTCACTTTTTTTTATGGAATAGGAGGCAAACTAGCAGTCGGATCACCTGATGGTAAGCGATCAGCGCCGCCCATGGACACCCGCAACACCAGAGGAGTCACACTGCTGCACCGTATTGTATACCTATTTTTTTTTATATATTTAAAGGGGCGACGTTTGACTACTATCTACCTAATTAGTATTTACCCAAGATAATTTATTTAAAATGATATTATTTGAACTATTTAGTAACGGTATGACGTTAATAAAATGAATTTAACAGTACTGAAATGTTAGTAATTGCATTACCTAGCTCCACATTACATTATAAATTAATTAATGTGAAAGCATATTAGCTATTGGAGTCGAGCATAGTTCAAATACTCAAACTCAATTTAATGTTAGATACCATTAGGTTGATATTCTATTAATTAGAATTGGAATCATTAATAAACAACCAATTTATTAAATATGTCTTAAATCATTATAACTGTCACGAGCAATAAATACATACATCATATCATCACACATTTTATCCCCGAAGGGATAGTCAGAGGTGCACGTTACGGCACTTAATACCACTGTACAATGTAACACCCACTTTAGACTATTTATGTTATGAGTCCAATGTAATAGGGGGTCAGCCTTTTGCCATACACCGGGCACAGTTCCAGACTATTTCAGACTCCATGCTACTACTGAGAGTTTAAAAAAGAACCCAATAACATTTTGCCCGTCCCGGGAACTGAACCCAAGACCCCTTGCCCGGCAGCCACACTTGCGACCACTCGGCCAACGAGGCAGTCACAGCAGGCAGGGCAAAATATTATTACTACACGTTGGCGCAGTGATTGGGCGTCAGGCTGGAACCGCAACGAGTTTCAGTTCCTACATCATACAATGCTTTGTTAGTTGTTACCGTGTGTGATGTGTATATGAAATTATGTATGTGAGTCTGTGAGATGCCCCTACGATACAAGAAAATTCGACATATGCACCACAGAACAAACCAACCAATCAAAGCGATGAATGCGGTGCCGTTTCGATCTCGTTACGTTTAGGAGTCACGAAGCGATTTTCTCCCGCACCCGACGCGATCGCGGGCTCTTTGTAGAATACAGATATACAAGTGTTGTTTTAAAGCCGTGTCATTTTCTAGGAGGTAACTCGGCTATCGATTTTGAGTCGGACTCAAAATCGATAGCCGGGTTACAGGTTATTACTATTATCTACAATTTCTTTTATCAATAAAATTATCAATAAAAGAAATTGTAGGTACATAAATATTTTTCTTTTTGTTCATTTCATTCTGTAAATTACGGAAATCCGTAAGTGCGAACTACACGCCGCCGTCTTGTAACTAGCTTTATAACGCGGCTCTAGAGGTACACACACGAACTCAAACACGAAACTCCAATAAGAAACATTGCGGTTACTTATTCTGAAATATTGTCGAACTTAAACGATTTATTATAGCCGTATTTTTATCCATTGGCCCAAAATTAAATCACATTTCACGACACGTTTTACGCCCGCGGCGTGCGCAGTTGTTTGCGGGCCCCGCTGCACCGGCGGCGGACGTCTTGCACCGATCGCAGTCGCGGTCTAACAGCCGCGGCGGGTAACAACCGCGCCCTCTAAGTTCGGTTGGCGGGAGACCACAATGAGACTCAACTAAATATTTACCCGCCCGTCTTGCGATAATCAACCGCCAACTTTGCGGGCGTGGGTGAGACGTAAAACAAACTTGTACTAAGCCCTCTGTGCTTACTGATCACTGATAATCACGAACGAAATCCTGAATTCGATATTTGTGTGAGAGATGTATACGAAAATAACAATAAGTAAATTTGAAAGGTTAGCAAGGAATGTAATTAATAAACGAATTAAGGTTAATAATTACTTTTAGCATGAAAGGCAGTTCATTAATAGTTATCTAAGTTTATGAATATAGAACTTAATTGCTATGTTAAGTAGATAAGTTTAGTTATAATTTCAGCAGTAGGTAACCTTTCTATAAATAAATTATTGCTTATGAATGTTGCCCTTTTGATATCACGATTCAGTTAAATGGTTGTAATAAATTGAGTTAGGATACGTTTTAAAACTAGTTTATCTAACAGATATCATGCCTCTTCTACTTTGCCGTAGTCGAATACAAAGAAAAATGTCGACTTTAACAAAGTCTATAAAACTTAACTCTCTCTCTCTCACACACACACACACACACACATATACACAAAATATAGCAAAACATAAAGTAATGCTAACAATCTGGAATCTAAAGGATCTGTACTTTGGGAAAACATACCTTGAGTACTTCATTGATACTGTGTAAAGCTGGACTGGCTCCAATTCCAGTTCCAACCTCGACCAGTACCTCCTCCGGTCTAACTCGCCAGGAAGTATTGTTCAGCTCGGCGTCTATTCGAGCCTGCCTGTTAGACACGTGAATAAAGGAATAAGTTCACTATTAAAGGCGGTAATAGACCAACAATGTCTGTAGTGTAAACTCTTGTAGTTGACACTCTACAAAACCAGGTTTTCAACTTTATGACTAAATAATAAGGTAGAAAATTGATTAAAGATTATTAAAAAAATACAAATAGTATGTATAGAAGCAAATGCAGAGACCGTGTACTTCAACTGCTTTGCACATTCATGTTCGATGTTCAAATACTCAATTCCGTTTAGGAAGAACCTTCGCTTTTTAAATCAGTTTTTTTTTTATATTGGGTGGCCTTAAGAGGTCTGCCATCTATAAATCGCTGAATTATCGAAGGAGGACCTAAACCTAATTAAATATAGATCAACATTTTCCTGGAAATATTTGAGAATAATACTTTGTTTGCCAATTAAACTTAAACATTAGCTAAGATTAATAACACCAGGCCAACGTAAATGTCAATAAAAACTTTAAAGAACTCTATAGCTTAAACAACACGACTTAAAGTCGAAAATAAAATGACAAAAAAATTTATACAAACTTTAATTAGCTTGTCAATCGATGATAAATTACTTATCGAGAAACTTTTTATTTGTTCAAAACAAAAATATATAATTTCACGCTCATAATAATCTTCTTTTCATATTAATCATTCTGTTTTATTTAATCTGCTACTTAAATAATGTAGAGATATCTCGTTATCAGCTAGATATTGTTCACGTACATATTGTAGTGTCCTTGTGCGAACTGCTAAGAAGTGGTATTCTTTGCCTGAGAGTAACCTGGGTGTCTTCAAGGCCCGAGCGTTTAGGTTGCTTATGGGACGACGTGCTCCATCGGAGGCCGCCTCATTGCTTACCACCAGGCAAGACAGTGGCCAAACGTATAATATAAAAAAGTAAATTATTTGCTTATTATCGAAGCTATAATATATATTTGGTAAACATTGGTCATCTCAGTAGCAAACTAAACTATCTCTGCACTGAATCCATCCTCTATTTTCTTATGAGAATACCAAATAACTTGTAACTCGACTAACTGTGCATGTTTAAGTTTGGTGTGATGTTTTTTATGGAATAAGCAGCTAAACTAGCAGACGGATCACGGTAAGCAATCGGCATCGCCATGGACACCCGAAACACCAGAGGTGTTACAAGTGCGTTACCGTCCTTTTGGGGATTAGGAATTTGTGGATGGTTATGGATACGGGGATTGTAAAGATTGGAGAGGGGGTAATTGGGCCTCCACTTATAGAGGTATGAGTACAAGTTAAACAACAATCACTACATAATATAAAACAAAATCACTATCCGGCGTCTGTCTGTCCCTATGTATGATTAAATTTTTAAAACTACGCAACAGATTTGATGCGGGTTTTTTTAATAGATAGAGTGGTTGTTAAGGAAGTTTTATACCATATTGCACCCGTGGGAAGCCGGGGCAGTCGCTAGTAATAATAATAATTGCATTGACAGTTTACTTACTTGTAAGCAACACACGCAGCGGTTACAGCGAAGGTGAGGAAGACTGCTAGTCCGATGAAACAATAGATTATAACAGTCTGCGCCTCTGTCCGGGCAGCGTGTAACAAATATTGTACATGGCAGACAACAATGTGATGTTTTGTTCGTATTTTGCAACCAGATATACATAACTTGAGGTAAAACATTTTTTACGAAGCTTCTACTAGGTAATGGCGACTTTCTCCATTACAGGTTTAATTTTCAACTCCTTTGCAATATTTTTTCTCAAATATACATACGTTCTTCAGCGAATGTAATAATAGAAGGAACATTAGGACTTCGATGTTACGTATTAATATAAAAATCAAATCTCCGAATCAAAACATATATTACAACCACAAACATACATTTCGACGGACAAGCAAGTTAATCGCCGTGTTAACTATAATTAAAAAGTCATTTAAAATCACCCTATGAATACCGGTACAAATACCTAAAAATCAGTAATACACAGAAAAGTAAAAGCATTTATAAATTTCATAAATCCTCTGTAAAAATACTTTTACCAATATTGATACCTAATAGTATATTGAAAGTCACACGTGATTTTATATAGTGCTCCATCATATATAGAAGGTATAAGGTAAGCTGTGGGAGCCGACCTTGAATTATGAGGGCGATGTCTTAGGAGCATTGACTTACAAGATAACGTATGCTCATACTTACTATAATACTACTTATATATCTTAGGTATTTCTATATGAAAACAGCGGTCAAATATGTTAATTTGTCCCTTGAAATTGTTGTATATATTATACCTTACAGTAAACCTGTATATATGAATGATGATAGTTATTCTATGTATACCTCTATTATATTGCTTTAATTTAAACACATGCATAATTATGTTTAGTTTATGTTTTCTAATTGGCATATACCTATTATGGCAATAAAATTTAATTCAAGTTTAAGTATGTAATCATGTTGTTTAATTAAAAATAACTGTTTACTCTCTATGGTCGATCACAATTCACCAAATATAATATGTATTTATTACGAAGACGTGTTATATACGTAAACCTTTGTACTGTTGGTGCGGTGGCTACGCAACTGGCTGCTGCGAAACATGTATCAGGTTCGATTCCCGCACAGAGCAACTATTCGTGTTATCCATTGTTGTTGTCTAGGTCCATTGTCTGGGTGTCATGTGTATATGATATTGTATGTTTATAAACGCACTTACAACACACGAGAAAATCCTAGTGAGGAACAACGTTTATAAAAATAAAAAGGGAACTAAACATTGTTATTTCTATTGGTTTATTCGGTGTTATTGTTTTCTTTTTTTAATTGATTATTATCTTATTTGTGTAACATACTATTTGTCTCGGTGTCGTTATTTCTTTTCCTGCCACAGGCCCACAGGAAGAAATTCCAGTTTGAATATGTGGGGCCTATGTACTCTGTTTTTATATATATATTGTCCCCTGTGTTGAATGTGTGTACATTAATAATAAATAAATAAAATTCACGAAATATATTTGTAACGAAGGCGTATTATATATGTAAACCTTTGTACAGTTTACAAAACCACATATAAAACGTTTTCTAGTACACACCTACACGAGTTAGAAGCCACGCTACAGACTATTACAAACTTAAAGCAATTTAAAAGTTTCTTTGTTAACCTGTCTCGGTTTAATTAAAAATGATAAATAATTTAGAACCACGTAATGACGAGATCTTGTTTGTCTAATGTAGTCTCCGTGGTATTAGTTGTAGTTACATCAATTTACTTACTAGTTAAATTATAATTACGTTGTAAAATGTTTGTTCAAAATCTCGTCTTGATTTGTTACGCTGTTCAGTATTGAGTATATATCGTACCTAGGTAGCTAAAATTTTACTATAGATCATTCAGGTACCCAATAGTATTGATAAAAACTTTACTTAATAAGTTTGTCACAGAAGTTATTTCGTTCGCGACTTACGTTCCAACAATTTCGTTCGCCTAAACTTTATAATCGTGCTCAAATCTCTTACTTCCACTTTAAGTATTCAGACTATAATCCTTTAAATTGTATTAAAATTTTTTTCCTTCACAATCACAAAGAAAAAATTTAATCAGTCTTCAATTAGTGTGGAGTGCTACGCCGTAGCTGCTACGGCGTAGTCGCTACGAGCTACAACATTATTTTACGACTACGTCAGGTGTAATGAGAAGCAGTAGGCTGTATAATTATATAATCAAGTACTCTTTATGTATAATTTGTGATGTACTATGTTTCTTTATGATAGTTAGTAATTGGATTGTCATGTCATCAAATAATGTACGTAATTGGACTACAAGTCAAGTCAATCAAAGAATGAACATGAACTTGGACAAGAGCTTACTAGTAATTGGCTGCTAAATACCTTTGTCCAGATTTTTATAAAGTACACTGCGAATTATGTATTTTTTAAGTATAATTTGCATTGTCACTACTGACAAGACATGCAATTTTTATTTCGCTCAGTTTATAAGATGTGAATTAAAAAAATAGTTTTTAACGAAAAGTAATCCATTTGGAATCTCTTATGCGTAATTATATAGTATCAAAATATGTTCAACTAAAATGCTATCGAAATAAAAGAATCAGTCTATTAAATAGTAAATGTCTGGGCACTTTAAAAGTACTACGTATTATATTTGATTAAATCGTACTAGGATAATAAAAATAGCCAACTTAAATATGCTGAAATACACATCTCATAGCAAAAGAAATCCCTGAAATAAAAACTGTATATATATAATAATAAAGATTACAATAAAATACTTACCACCCTGGCACATGGGGTCGTTCCACAGGAACCCGCAGCGAGGGGTGTCTGGGGGTGGACCCCGGCGACCCCCTGGCCAGTGGATAGCTTTACCTGGGACTGGCTTGTAGCTGCTATTGAGGCCGTGGAAGAATGCCACCACCTGGATAAATTATGATCATTAACTATTGTTAACCTGTACCATTATAAACATTATCTCAAAAGAAACGAAGTATCAATTCATACAAAATATTTAATTAACACTATTACATTAACAATTACTCTATCATCATCAGCCTGTTTTCGTCCACTGCTGGACATAAGCCTCTCGTGCCATTGGAGAGGCTTATGTCCAACTATTACTCTAATTATTAACAAATACTTAAACAGTGATTGATCCAGTATACAAACACTAATTACGGACACGCTAATCTAACTAAAATTCCCTACCACCTAATATCCGTGACTCTAAATCCATCCCAATCTTTAAAAGAGTCGTAAGGGAGCACTACCTTTCCTCATCTTGTTCAAATTAGTGTCATCTATATATACTTCTATAAAAGAAAGTCATGTTAGTTACACCACTTATAACTCAAGAACGGCAGAACAGATTTAGCTGAAAATTGATATGGAGGTAGCTTAGAGCCAGGCGACGGACATAAGATACTTTTTATCCCGTTCGAAAAAAAAAAGTTTAGTTTAGTTTAGTTTTAGTTTCCGGGAAAAACAGGATTGCGCGTACGAAGTCGCGGGCAGAAGCTAGTATATATATATATATGTATAATATGTTTATTTGTAATATACTCTAATATGTGTATTATTTAATGTGTATCTATCATATGTATGTATAGGTTTATGTATTTTATTGTGATCTATTTATTTAATACATTTCATGGCATGTTACGCACAGTGTCTCTGTTTTTACCGTTTTTCCTGTCGAATGACTGCAGGAAGAGTTTCCTACGGGAATATGTAGTACCTATGTACCTCCAATTTATTTATATATGTGTTCTCCTGTGTACTGTCTGTGTGTTGTGCATAAATAGATAAATAAATAAATAAAATTCTTTATTTTCAAGTTATACTATTTATTCAGTAATTTAATGTATTTATCTAAGGTTAGTTAAAGAAATGGTCTACAATGTCCAAAGCCACTGTAAATAAAGTTAGTTTGGAAGACGCACGCGACTTTCAAAGTAATTAGTTTAATCCCTATGCTACCCACCAAACTACGTAGTTCAGAAGATACTGTCTGACTAATAAACTTAGTGATACTTATTTAAGTAGCAAATATGTTTTGTGGAAATCAAAAAACTTCAACGTATATTTTGCAGTGGACCTCGATGACTATGATAACGAACAAAGAAACAAAATTCAGATTATTATTCAGTTCTTCGAGGATTTAATACAAAAATGGGGTATATGACTAATTTTTATTCTAATGTCCGTCTGGTATATTATTTAAAAACATTAGACACGTATTTTTTATTTTCTTACAGAAACAAATAGTTTTGAAGGTATACTGATTTTAAATATCGCATGACGTCACTTTTGAGTCCGATTTATACTCTAAAATGACGTAACTACCTCCCACTCCTAAACTTTGATTTGTTTTATCTAAGTATTGTTTTCTTATACGACGAAATAAAAAAATATGTGTCTGATATTTTTTCATTACCTAACTGACGGACTAATTAGATAATGTATCATACCCTGTCATCATCCGTATTGAAAGTTTTGTGTCGTATTGTATTATTACAATACAATATCTATAACCTACAAGCGTAGATCATGCAATGAAAAAAAAATAGAAAAAAAATATTATGTACCTACACAAAATTATATTTACACAATCAATCAAACTCGTTTCCATAAAAAATGAATTATCATTGAAACGTTCTAGAAAATCGAATCATATTTATTTGACCTCAAAAAACTATCTTCATTTAAATATCAAAAGGTTTTCTTAGCCACTAAGTCGAGAGCGCTAACCGTAACTAATTGAACTACAAGACGTCAAATTATAGACCCAAACTTAAACAGGTCCCAAGACAAAGTCAAAAAAGGCTGCCTTTAAATAGCAATTACGAAACAAATTTACTGAACGAAAACTCCTTTTATATTGCCGTCTAAAAATGCCTCGTTGGCCGAGTCGTCGCAATTGCGACTGCCGGGCAAGGGGTCTCTGGTTCGATTCCCGAGCAAAGTATCACTGGGCTTTTTTAAAATTCTGAGTAGTAGCACGGAGTCTGGAACTGTGCCCGGTATATGGCAATAGGCTCACCCCTGTAATACATAAATAGTGAAAAGTGGGTGTTACATTGTACAGTGGTATAATGTGCACCTCTGCCTATCCCTTCGAGGATAAAAGGCGTGATGTTATGTTATGTCTAAGAATAGGCTAAAAGTCTTATTTTCACCAAATAAGCTGTTGATTGATCAAAGTTTTATAAACTAGTCAGAACAAAGTATTGAACATAGTTTGCCTTTCAAAACTGTTATCAAATACAGTTTTAATATTCAATATTTAAGATAATTTTTGATTAGTTTCGTTTTTTACCCGACTGCCAAAGAAGGAGGGTAATGTTTTTCGAGTGTATGTAAGTATGTATGTATGTCTTTTCCTTTGTGACCACCTGTAGCCTAAACGGCTTGATGGATTTTGATGTATGAGGTATCGTTAGATTTGTCTTGATTACGGGAGTGTCATAGGATACATTTTATCCTAAAAGTCCCACGGGATAAAGACATAATAATATTTTTTCTAAATTTCCCTTTAAAAAAATATGTATGCGGTATCATTAGATTCATTTCAATCACGGGAGTAATTAATATAGGATACGTTTTTTCTCAAAATTCCCACGGGAACATGTTAATTCTGCGTCAACGCAAAGCAACTCATGCGTTAGCAAGCAAAAAGATAGGGCGTGGCCTGGCATGCGGCGCGCGGCGCGGTGCGGAGGGGGATATGCTCGAGTATACAGCCCGATTGCGGGCACACGCATGAGGGCACACGTCGTTGACGGTCGTCTCTAAATAGCGATTTTATTCGATATATCCCTATTTGTATATATCGAAATAAAAACAGCTAAAAAGTTATAAATAAAAAAATTATTATTAAAAAAACAAAATACCCGACTGCACACTAAAAAAAGAGTAAAACAAGCCCCACAATAATATTGATCAATCAAATGCTAAAAACTAATTATGTAATACCGTTTAAACAATACTTATATTAAAATACACTACAATATGTGTTCGTAATCGATAGTTAAATAAACAGAAACTTATTTTGAATACAAATTTACTGAATATAATTTATAAATGTTGATGGAATGCATCGCAGGCGGGGACCAACAGAGGCTTATTTATAGTCATTTCGGTTGTGCACCATTTAGCAGAATTTTCGTTGGTGGCGGTCAAGGTGGTCCCCGCCTGCGATGCTTTCCATCAACATTTATAAATTATATTCAGTAAATTTGTATTCAAAATAAGTTTCTGTTTATTTAACTATCGATTACGAACACATATTGTAGTGTATTTTAATATAGGTATTGTTTAAACGGTATTACATAATTAGTTTTTAGCATTTGATTGATCAATATTATTGTGGGGCTTGTTTTACTCTTTTTTTAGTGTGCAGTCGGGTATTTTGTTTTTTTAATAATAATTTTTTTATTATAAGTAGTTTATTTTGATCCAGTTTTGGAATAGGCGTTTTCTAGAATATTGACTGAGACAGTTGGATACTTTAAAAAGTACCCAAATAACTTTGAAAAGACCTTTATTATATCGATCAACACAAGATATGCGTGACCATTATTCATTAGTATAATAATAATACTTTTTTATGGCATAAGCCGGTAAACGAGCAGACGGATCACCTGATGGTAAGCAATCGGCGCCGCCCATGGATATCTGGAACACCAAGTGCGTTACCGGCCTTTTGGGAATTGGGGAGGGTAATTGGGCCACCGGTTACCTCACTCACATGACGAAACATAACGTAAGCATTGTTTCAAGCCGGTTTTTTGTGAGGCCGTGGTATCACTCCGATCGAGTCAACCCATTCGTGCCGAAGTATAGCTCTCCCACACTTGAATAATAATAAATCGTGATGGATAGGTATATTCCTAAAATAAATTCAATATTTACCTCAAATTTTCCAGTAACAGGATCTAGATCCAAGATAGCGTAGTCTGCATCTCTGTCCCCCACAGCATCGATGCGCACGTGGCCTGTTATGCCTGCGAGAACAACAATATTTCAGGAACAAAATTTCAAGACAGGCTTAGTAAATTAGCTCACCAGTCTACTTGTTTGCTCACTAGCCTACAAAAAGGGAGGTGAAAAAATTATGCCATAACGTTTGAGTCAAGAGACATAACTATGCTTCTTTCGTATGTTCAAATAATATACAAAATACATCGTCATGAACCACAGATAGAAGTCACAACAAACTATTGACAAGTGACCGTCGTCAAAGTATGTCAATATCGATGTTATCGAGTTGTCTAGTTTCAAAGACTTGGGTAAAACAATCAAGACCGTTCCTTCGTGCCTTTGTACATTGGTAAGTAGGTGAAACAGAGTGATAGGGATAGAGTTCGGAAAACATTCATAATGTTTTTGAAATAAGGGCGTTCCAGTAGTTCAATATTAATTATATCGACTGGTAGCAGATAGTGATATTGATTTTGTAAGAATTCCACATTTTACACTATCTTTTTTGTTTGACATCACTACATAGTATAAAACAAAGTCGCTACCCGCCATCTGTCTGTCCCTATGTATGCTTAGATCTTTAAAACTACGCAACGGATTTTGATGCGGTTATATGGATATAGATAGAGTGATTCTTAAGAAAGGTTTATATGTATAATACATGCATATTGCACCTGTGCGAAGCCGGGGCGAGTCGCTAGTATATTAAATTCCTTAAAGGGGTAGGTTAGGTAGTAGGTAGAAAAAGTTACACAATAACGAAAAAAATTATCCAATAAATACCGCGTGTCAATTAAACTTACAATAATATTAACTGACGACTCAGTACCGGGATCCGTGTTAATTGACTCTTTATTGTTCGTAAAGAGCTGTTAAATATAGAGAACATTGTTTCTACAATAAATACGTAGGCGTGACCTTTGGTAAAAGGCAAATTACTTGATACAAACAATACCTTTAGTTTGTTTCAATAATAATTACTGTTGCGTCATTACGTATTGTTTATTGGACTGCTAAATTAACGGTTTCGTCACTTTTAAATCTGGAATGATCATACTACAGAGAAAATTTTTTAACCAATTCCATCGATTACTTTAACTTCAGATTCTATACTACTTTTGTATCGACATGTGTATTTCCATTTAAAATGTTGAAATAGGCAACATCGATAACAACAACGTTATGTATTTCAACATAGTAAACCACAAAACTTCTTCTATCAAATATAAAACGTCAAAACCTGCGCTTGACCAACAAGACATCTTGTAGAAAAATCAACAAAATAAAGAATGCAATAGACGTTAATAAATCGCGAGTCCATCATAGTCCACCATTTTTATAGCCATAAACATAATGTCATACGCCATAAACGATGTCAGAGATCATTAAGTGGCCAATATTGAGTCTTTATGTGAATCCAGATAATAGCTTATAAACATTATCCACGCGATCTTATACAATAGTGCTAAATCTCAAAGTTGTCTGGTCAAACAGGAATATAGCGTGGAATGTGTGGGTACAGCATTAAAAATAATAAGTAATGTAGACTAAAATCTATAAAAGCGTCTTGTATGTTAGATTTTGAGGTGTAATTGCTGGGCATAGCTATAATTTTAAATGAATCCAGGTAGTGGAGAAATAGGAATTCTATGAATTTTGTACGAGATTGTTTATTGAGACGTCACGTTTTTTTAGCGTCAACAGCATACCTATTTCTTAAAATTTGCTGTAAAAATACTATTAAGTTGGTCCTAAAATCAATTAATGAAAATGATTCTTTTTTTATATTTTATTGTATTGAACAGTTGAAAGAATTAATTTTTAATTGAGGCAAGTACCCAATCAATTAGGTCTTTGCAAAACTGAACCTGAATCAAAGACTGACTGTCGCATTATCGTTTGAATAGGACCATAACCACAGTTATTCATTTAACGCAGTTAGTATAAAATAAGTAATTGTGGTTTCACCTACGTGTGTAGTAAAAACATAATTTTAAATAATCTATCAATATACTTTAGTGTACAAGAAACTAGTTCATAAATCCCACTTCTACCTTGATTTGTATTTGAGTAATTTCAAACCAACAAAGAAGCTCTATACCTTAATAAATCAATTGATGAAAGTTTGTTCTCCCGTTGTAAATTTAGGAATAAGTGGGCGTAAATTACTGGTACCTATTGTAATTAAACACGAGGAGATATTTCAAAAACTTAACAGTTCAAAATATCATATTTTAAAAACACTTAAAATATTATTAAGGCATTGAAACCGCTTGTAAAGATCGATCTGTAACATGGAAATACGAAATTAAACAAGAAGTTGTTTAATTGTAAGTCAGAAGAAACCCTCTTCATGAGGCAGAGCCATGCTTCGACACGAATGAGCCGGCTCAACTGGGTTGATACCATAGCCTTAGAGAAAAACCACCGGGTCAGTGAGGTTACCGGATAGATGTAGCTAAAGAATAAGTTGGCTTAATGCTATGATATGTTCCATGTTATCGTTTCTACTTGCCATGAAAGTCTCGTCCCCACATACGCCTGGTGATGTTTCTCCCATCCCTGATGTCTCCACCTTCCGTCAAGGTCTCATTCAGCGCCATACCCAATAGATACACCCCATCGTAGAATGCACCGATGAAGAAATTGACCTGGCAATGAAAAATATGATAAAGAAGACTCAAATACCAGTATTGCTTTCTTAAAGGAATCATCATAAGACAGTTTAAATTTCTTTAACTTGTATTAACATAACATCACGCCTTTTATCCCCGAAGGGGTAGTCAGAGGTGCACATTATAATCACTGTATAATGTAACACCCACTTCTCACTATTTATGTTATGAGTCCCATGTAATAGGGGGTGAGCCTATTGCCATATACCGGGCACAATTACAATCTCCGTGCTACTACTGCGTTTTTTTTTAAATCCAGTAATAATTTGCCCGACCCGGGAATCGAACCAGAGACCCCTTGCCCGGTAATCGCACTTGCGACCACTCGGGCAACGAGGCTTGTATTAAATATAGGGGTTTAATTACATATATGGATGTATTACGAACCTAATAAAATTTTTACCTACTTCTCTTTCACAACAGTCATGCTAAAAACCACTCGAGCAAAGAGATAGTAATTTTAAATTTAATCTGAACAAATTACTTATTTTTTGGGCGTCGTAAAAGGAGGTTAATCTTAACTAGATTGTAGTCCGCCTCGTGACGTCAGCGAGACCAAGGTTACGTTACAAATTGAAAATGTTGAAAGTTTATACAAATTGTTGAGTCATTTCGATGTGATTTCCTCTAACATGAAACTGAATGATATGTATGTTTTGCGTACGTATTTTTATTTTCATTTGATACACTATAAGCTGTGTTAAGCAAATATCAACTATATCGAAAAGTATTAAAGAGTAAAATCTGAAAATTGAACAAAACATTTTTCGAATTCGGTATTTTATTACAATACAACACAACAGAAAACTACTTACAAAAAAGTATTCTTTCTTACCTAGACATATTTTCTATTATGTACGATTTGGAATAGATCTCTCAAAATAATATATTTCTACACACATTTCTTTTACACAAAACGTTTAGATATGTTGACAGAAAAAAACAAATTCTTATTCTTCTCCGACTATGTAAATATACAAGGATATTCATCTGTCGTTCAATTTCGCTACAAAATTAAGTGAATTATACAGACTATACACATCGAAATATACAATTCCAATTTATAGTGGTCTCTCTTTGTATGACCTTTTTGCACCTTCGACGGTCAGTTTATACTGGTTTTGCATAGCTTGGTGAGCCGTGTTTGGCTGTCGACACGAACCGTGTATACACACAGTATACAGATACTCAGAGGCTAAAATGGCAGAAAATCGTAAATTACGAATTCATTGGTACATTTTTTCCCTTTTTTCTCCTAACACTTTTTTGTAATACCATGGTTTTATTGTTGGTAAACTGGTGTTTCCTTTTTACTATGCTATATTTTGAACAGTACTTTGGTTACGGCCAGTTTTTCAATCACCAGTTAATCCTTTTCTTTTCCTCTTTGGCAACTGAATCTCCAAAACGAAGTTGTTGACTTTACTGTCAGTGTCGAGGTTAATAACTATAGAATTAAATTGACAGTTGACAGTTTTTAGTATGGAAGAATTGTCAAATATTTAAAGTGATTCCTTTGTTAAAATGTAACTGGCGTTGGAAAAATCGCCCCTTAATGAAAATGTAATGTAAATTTAATAACAATTGATTAATGAATAACAATTAACATTACATTTTCTTTACTTATCATTCCAAACTTCTAATAAAACGACTGTTTTTTTTTTCTTTTAAAATTGTATTCTGCAGAGGCCTTTTCAATACATTCAAAATATCTTATTTAAACAATAAACCCGCGTGACAATAACCAAACCTTCAGATTACATAGAGAACATGAATCACAATAACACACTTTATACCTTACGGCTCGGTATTAAATATCAAAATTCAATAAGCTTACCTCTTCACCATCAGAGAATGAGTAGTTATAGTGCTGCTTGGCTCTGGCTCTAACAGCATCAGCAAATTCATCGAACCTGTCTCCCGTGGGTAGCTTCAGGGAGACTCGGAGTAGGGCTTCATAGGCTGCTCGCGCTGCAGTGTCCCTCTCATCATCAGCTGCCCAGCCTGTCTCGCCCCAATACCCTCCCTGTGTTATAAAATGAAATTAAATAATTATCTTTCTTATTGTATAGACTATTCTTGAAATTCTTGGATTTTGAACCTGCCTGGTGTACGACAAAACCTTTTCTGTTCATTGGAATTTATCATAACTGCTCAGTATTTCCTTTTTTGGTTTCATTTTTACCTTAAATTTCCGCCTCAAGGTCATGAAAGTCTCCTCATAATTCCTTACAGTATCATTGCATCTGCAATTGTATTCAATATTTGACAATACCCACTATTACTTGCACAATTTAACTCCTGACGTAACTGGTATGAACATTATCCACAAACAAATTACATAGGTATGTGACGTCACACAAATCCCGAATCAATTACGCATAATTGAGCCAGAATAAACCCTTTCCTAAAGTGAATGTAAATCTCATTCAACTCCAAAATACTTTGAGAAATGCTGATTACGAATGAATCTGACATATTTGGGTTATATTTGTAACAATCGGTATGAGTTTAAAATTTCCACGAAGTGATGAAACTGCTTTCATTTCACTATATGTGCCGATAAAGTAATATATTAATATGGTAACCCAGAAATGCTTTTCATGTATGTGAATGAAATGTAACACTCGTGAATAAAAAAGAAAACTTAGAAATCGTTTTTTAAAGATATGCTTTTTCGGAAAAACGTAGGTCAGTCATCAGTCTTTAGGGAAATATTGATGAATATTAAGAAAATACCTCGGATGGACTATACGGCGTAGCATATTTTTATTGGAAAAACTATTAATCTTCAATTATACCTAAATATGAAATTGGTTAATATAACGAAAAAAATATTATTTAAAAGTACGTACTCCAAAATATTTTACGTACTTTAGAGACACAATCTTTAACAGAAAAACCTTTCTCTTTTTCTTTTCAAACAAACAAATGAAACCTTCACTTATCAAACTCCAAAACAAATGCAAATCGCACTTTGAAAAAGTACATTAGGGCAAAACGCAAGTAAATGGACATACACGCGACTTTGAGCATTATAATCAGGCGTATGAAGGTTTACCTTCGCTTGAAAGGTCAAGGGAGGCGTGTGTGGAATGCTTGATAACAGCTTGATTGAAGGGACGCGTTCTAGAATTAATAGATGTGCTTAGATTATCTGTGGCAATATCCGCGCTTGTGATTGGTTAACCAGGTTTCGAGGTTAGAGTCTGATTTCAAACGTCTTATGGGTGCAGTTTGAACTTGACCTATCTAAAAAGGTTGAAAGGTAATCTTACCCTGTTTTTAGGAAATAGTTTGAATCAGGGTCGCCATTAAGCAATGTTCGATTGTAAAGAGAATAGATCGCGGAGACTCGTGGAGTCGTTACCCGCGTCGAAATAAATATTATTGAACCTTTGAATGCAATAGGACTAGGAACATAATTTGTAAAATTGGGCTACAGATGATTACAGCATATTATATTTGGAAAATACGTGTTCATTCACGTGTCGTAAGTCACGTGTTAATTCGAAATAATAAGAATAATGTTTATTTCAGGAAATATGTGGGCTGAACTTCACACTAGGATTCCTTTTGCCGTGAAGCCCCGACTCCCAGAATAAACAGCACAAAAAACATAATATAAAATGCTTCACTATTAATGTATATGTGTGACTGTGTATGAATAAAATATTTAAATGTTTATAATTTTAAACTTCATTCAGAGTATACTTTACCTAAACAGTTTTTTCAATTTACTAAAATCATAACCCTCCTTTGGCTTCGCCGTAGTCGGGTAGAAACAAAATATAGTACCAATAAATAAGTTTTATCATTATTTTTAAATCCATCTCTCTAATAAAATAAAGAAATAAATTTAACAGATATCTATCAACTATTACGTGACGAGGAGAATTTTACTAAGCATTATGTTATAAATCCATTCAATTTATTAAAAGCAACGGCAAGTTAAAACTTTTTCATCACAAATATTTACTACAACATGTTTTTGCACGTCTACGCTAGAGGTCGCTAGTGTCATACTGTCAAAAACCCACAGAGTATTAATATAGAAAATCATTAAACTGCGATCGCACGTGATGATACACGAAAAAGGCCACGAACACGGCTATTATTTTCGTAAAATCTCTGTGAAATATTCGAAAACTAGCTAACGTTATTTATATTTCCATATTTCACAAAATTTAATGTTAACTAGCTTCTGCATGCGACTTCGTACGCCGCCATCCCGTTTTCTCCCGTTCCCATAAGTTTTTCAGTTTTTTTTCTATCACAAGAACCTTCTCCTAACAATAACAAACACAACTAAAAAAAACAGCCAAATCGGTCCAGCCATTCTCAAGATATGGTGTGACAACGGTAAACGTGTTACATTTTTAAATATATAGAGTAGCGACCCGCTCCGGCTTCGCACAGATGCAATATGCTGTGTTATACATATAAAACTTTCTTAAGAAACACTCTATCTATTAAAAAAAACCGCAATAAAATCCGTTGCGTAGTTTTAAAGATCTAAGCATATATAGGGACAGACAGACGGTGGATAGCGACTTTGTTTTATACTATGTAATTATCTAGGGTGGGTATTGTACCGTCAGTTATGTCATTTGGTATGCATGTAAAATTGATTTAATTTAGAGGCTATAAAATAGAGAAGGAGATGGCGGGACGAACTTGACAACTACGACAAGGCTAATCCTTCCACTTCCTTCTACAGAAAGCTTTGCATAGAGAAGAGTACAAGGAGGGTCGGGAAGCCTTTGCCTTGCAGTGGGACGATCATGGCTGAAAATAAATCCATTATTTATTTATTTATTTATTTTGAGCCATGATTGTCCATGAGGCTATAACTATGTATTTTCAATCGTACACTTTTTAATGGAGCCTTGTCAGGGTTTCCAATATCTTACATTTCTTACCCTTGCACTTGTGACTACTCATGCAAAAACATTTTTTAAATAGATAAATTAATAAAATTACTCATAGTTGTCTACAAACCACCTTGGTACTATTTCTTTGATGAAATGAAGTTCCAACAAGGTATGCATAATAATTTCATGAATATTTTTACTGATTAAAGTTCATAATTGAAGATGTGCGGCGATTATTTAGTCGCTCCAGTTATTGCTGTCCTTAAGAAGGACTTTGAAAGGACTTCTTATCAACCTTTAAAGAACCTTGGTGTTGATTATAATTTCTTCTGCATTCAGCATAGTATTCGCTATCAATTTCTCAGTTAAACTATCAAACACCGCGAGGACACCGGTGCCCGCAACCTATTGTTCTTTAATTGTGTCTATAATGACGGTACTCAACGAGTTAGGTGTAAATAAATTTCAGTTTTATTTCCTAGGAAATCAACAACATTTTAACATTTAACCATAAGCGTGTAATTAAGTGTTGGAGAGCCATGCTTCGGCACGAATGCGCCAGCTCGACCGTAGTGATACCACGGCCTCACAGAAAACCGACGCCTGCGTTGTGTTTTGTCGTGTGAGTGAGATAACCGGAAACCCAATAACCCCCTCCCCTTCCCCAATCTCCCCAATCTCTAAATCCCCAACAATCCTCAAACTACTAATCTCCAAAAGGTCGGTCGGTCGTAACGGCTCTGAAGTTCCAGGTGTCCAGGGCGACGCCGATTGCTTACCATCAGGTGATCCGTCTGCTCGTTTACCGGCTTATTCCATAAAAAAGTGATCGGTAATTACCTGAAATATTTCGACATCCAGAAAGGCCCAATCCCCTCGCGTCATGCCAAGTGTATGCGCAGCCAATAGGAATTCACGCACGAGTGAGCCACGCACGCTCAGGATTACCACTATATCAAAGAATAAATAAATTTGTGTTAGGAAATCTACGAATGTTATAATGTATACTTAGTACTTCACACTACAGTTAATCATATAATCATTAGTATTATTTCGTAAATATGCTGCCAGCTGTCTTATTTCTTACGATCTTACACCAAATTTATAATAACAAATAAAACTAAATTTCTAAACAAAACAAACATAATAAAACATAAAATCAATCGTAGTAAATCGATAGCTAACATCGAGAGCAAAAAAATATCTCATCAATTTTAATATAACGGAACTGAAAGTGCAAAGAGGAAAAATAACGAGCGAAAAGGAAATAAAACGCGTAATATCTGTCAGTTTTCCAATTACCCACAGTCTGTGGAACAGTGGTTTGCACTTTCCAATAAAAAGAACATTGGACGCATCGATTCCATACCCTTATTATTTTTTCCACGAAACTAGCAACCGACTCGAGTGGAATCGAGCAATCTCAAATTCTATCCAATATCGATTTTAATATCGAATACTCGGAAGCTCATTTAATTCAATATTCGACTAATTGATTCGTTTTATTTCGTATTTCTATCCAGGGGCAATCAAAAAGTTTTTAACAGTTGAATATCGGGTTAAACAAGGATGAAAAGGGTCGAAAAATATCACTAACGAGACCAATTTGAGAATAACAGATGAGTTTAAAATATCAAATCTCAATTCTTGTTTGAATCGATTAAGTTACGTTTATTCCATTAATAGACATTTTTGTCAATAAATCAAACAAGTTTACAAAACAATTTAGATTATATTCTCCGTAACACAGTATTAACTATTTATTATATAACACGGTAGGCTTCAGGAATATGGTCGTATTAATTCCAACAAGTATTAGTAAGGTATGACATTATAAGTAAGTCTGTTTTATAAATTAAATATACTGCCTCGTTGGCCGAGTGGTCGCAAGTGCGACTGCCAGGCAAAGGGTCTCGGTTTCAATTCCTGGGTTGGGCAAAATATTACTGGGTTGTAAAAAACTCAGTTGCACGGAGTCTAGAATTGTGCCCGGTATATGGCAATAAGCTCACCCCTTATTACATGGGATTCATAACACAAATAGTGAAAGTGGGTGTTACATTACATTGTACAGTGGCATTAAGTGCCGTAATTTGCACCTCTACCTGCCCCTTCGGGGATAAAAGGCGTGATGCTATGTGTGTAAACATAAAATATTTCTTTGCCTTGCCTAGTGATTTGTAGATATTATTATATCTACAAATCGGTTTTTATCGGCTATTACAGATTTCGGTATTACACTGTCACTGGCAAAAACGGAAAACAAATGAGAAACGCCCTGTGTTTAATATAAATCCCATTCACACCCATCCCGACCACCCTGTCATCTCAGACAACAAAAGTAGACCACAAGGTTTAGCTCATTCTAATATAAATCTTAGCCCTATAAACATAAGGCTTGTTTACCTCTAGCATACATGCTGACATCTTTGAGTAGTGCTTCGCAAGATTCCCTCTCGTTGCCGTCCAGTTCCCTCACTGCTTTCAAGACTCCTTTCTTCCGAAGTCCCCACTCCAGACTTTTACCTACATGAAAAAAGGTAAAGAATTATTGGGTTACAGATCATTTAATTGTATATACAACATACAACGTAATTCACGCACACCCTCAAACACCCCAATTAGAATATTATGTTATACTCATAATACATACACTAAATTTTTAATTTAACATGTATATGCATCCTTACTGGTCTTGTCATGAGGTTTATTTTTCTTTATTTTGTATTGAATCATAGAATTTGTATGAATACAAATAAAACTGCGATTCTAAAAGTCTTATTGCTTTGACTTACGGTCCATTTCGATTTGTTTTAACAATACAGGGTTAATATGACAATAATTACCGTAGTTTTAATTATTTTTGGGATAAAAAATTACCTATACTAAAAATTATATAAATGGATTCAGTTAACGATTCTGAACCAATTATTTTCAGGATGTGCGTTATTTAAGTTACATGTTGTATATATTAAATATGTAAAGCCGTCGTGAATTAGTTCATATCTATACATCATTTGTTTTTTTTTGGTTTGTTTGTTTGAACGCGCCAATCTCCGAAATTACTGATTCGAATTTAATAATTCTTTTTGTGTTGGATAGTCCATTTATTAACTAAGGCCATAGGCTATAAAACATCTCGCTATGACCAATAAGAGCCGAGCAGAGCAGGTGAAACCGCGCGCAAGTAGCTAGTCTGCAATAAAACTGCAATATCATAGTGATTTGAACAAGGTTCTCTGAGTCATAAGTGATTCGAATTGTTTCTAACATTTGACCATAAGTTTCCTCACTTACAACTAAATCATTATTATGTAATTACATTTGCCGTAATGTGCACCTCTGTCTACCCCTTCGGGGCTTAACGGCGTGATGTTATGTTAAGTTTCTTTTACCTTTCAGTATTTTTGTTTGGTTATCAGACATAGGTGTTTATATTTTTTGCATAATAACTAGCGACCCGCTCTGGCTTCGCACAGGTGCAATATGCATGTATTATACATATAAACCTACCTTAAGAATTACTCCATCTATTAAAAAAAATACATCAAAATACGTTGCGTAGTTTTAAAGATTTAAGCATACATAGGGACAGACAGACGGCGGATAGACTTTGTTTTATACTCTGTAGTGATGATAAACATGGTTTCCTAAAACATTTTTAAACACAAACCCTCTATACGTTTCATTCTCATATAACCTCCATGGCCAAAACAAACCAACAAAATATCTCGGTATATTACATTACAAGGGAAACAACTCCATAAATTCCACCTTTCTTGGTAGAAGCAACAACGTATGACCTCTCAACATAAAGCAACATTTTCAACCGACTTCAAAAAAAGGAGGAGGTTCTCAATTCGACCCGTATGTTTTTTTTTTTTTTTTCTATATTTGTTACGCGATTACTCCGCCAATTATGAACCGATTTGAAAAATTCTTTTTTCGGCGTATAGGTAATACCTCAAGGTTGGTCCCATTTAAATTTACTAATAAAAATAACAACCCCCAAGGGTGGAAAATAGGGGATGAATTTATTTATACGCAATAACTCCGCCGATTTTAAACCAATTTGAACGATTATTTTTTTATTAAATAGGTATTATCAAAAGGGTGGTTTCATGCGAATTTGAAGAAAATATTTCAACCGTCAAGGGTGGAATTTGAACGATTATTTTTTATATTTCACCCCCAAGAATAGAACGTTAGTTGTTACGAGATATCTCATTAAGGCTGCGCGTTTAGTAGGCCTACCCATATTAAATGCACTAAGGGTATCTACAAAAAAGTAACACTAAAAATTTTAAAATAAAATAATTAACTTTTTAAAAAAAATAAAACCGACTTCAAATGCGAGAACACAAAAAAAAACTAAAAATTAAAAAATAATTCCTAATACCTATTACCTAATACTATAATTTTTCTAAACTATATCAAAGTAATTAAAGTTAAACCATCTAAATATCTTAAAATAGTTATACTTATATACCTACCTATTGTTTTTTGGAGTCGGTGCCAGTGCCAGCGTATTAAGTTTACCCGCGAACTAGAGACGTGCGACGCGGTGGCGGGGGACGCATGGCGCGAGGCGGGGCCGCGCGGTGCGGCGGGGGACGCGGGCGCGTGCGGTCTTGCTCGAGTAAGCGACCCGAAGGCGGGCAGACGCTTGAGGGCAGACTACGTTGACGCTCGTGTCAAAAATACTGAATTTTCGGATGCGCAATATTTCAAATTATTGCTTTCTTTTTTGTTTGTTGTATTCTATTGTAGGATTTGTAGGTATTTGTTATTCTTTGTTGGTATAGGTTTAGTTGTACCAGGCTACATACAACTTATTTCTTAATATTTTTGTTTCATTGAGTACTTTTTCTTATTTCATTAGGTTTAATATTCATTTATTACTGGCACCGACTCCAAAAAACAATAGGTAGGTATATAAGTATAACTATTTTAAGATATTTAGATGGTTTAACTTTAATTACTTTGATATAGTTTAGAAAAATTATAGTATTAGGTAATAGGTATTAGGAATTATTTTTTAATTTTTAGTTTTTTTTTTGTGTTCTCGCATTTGAAGTCGGTTTTATTTTTTTTAAAAAGTTAATTATATGTACCTTATAACTTCACAGGATACAAGGTATTTTGCACCTTACCTCACTAAGCCTTTAAAAGCCCATTTCGGTAATAAAAAAGGTAAAGTTTGTAATAAAAACATTCCTTTTAGCACATAACAGAGCATTTGATGATGAGTCAGAAAATTGCTAAGTCTTAAAATTCTTTGAACAATCAGACGCATTTAGAGACTTGAGTAATAGATTCAGTGTAACGTGCCAACCTGGTAGTCTTTGATTTTTAACTTTGATTGTAGGTAATTTGTAAATGCTGTGTAATCGCCTAGAAAAGAATTAATATTTTGGGCCTTTTTTGAAAGTGCCGAAGTCAACGAAAAATAGTCAGTATCGTTAGAACTAGCATACAACATTTGGAGCAATAGTTATTAACTACATTGCCTCAGATTCTTGATTCTAACAATATCAACCATTATTTTACGTTTCCTGGCACCTTTAGAAAGCAATAAATGCATGAAAATGATGAATCTTTGAACTGATGTAACTTCTTCAACATGGATCCTAAAACTTTTACGCCATGTGAACGATTGAATATTTGTCCAAAAAACATTTCATAAATGACGATAAAATATTTGTCCATAAAATGTATCAATTACAATAGTATCATGTCCCATTAACTATCAAACAAACAAACATACACACAAACACGAATACAAGTGAAGGTATGTTCAAGTCTTCTACAAAATGATCAAACAAGGTATCAAAATCAATCAATTAAGTCAGGGTTTATCAACCCAGGGCCCGCAATCCCAAGGGTCTGGCCGAAATACAAATTAAACATCGATTAAATCGTACGAATGAAGCTATCAAAGCAGTCCGTTGATGAAAAAGGTGGGCAATCTCTGGATTAGATTATTATGTAACGCAATAATTAACATAAGATAAGGAAGTCTGCTTCTTTATTCAAATTTTATCGGCAGAGCAAGAGACCTCCTTGCAATTTCCATGTTAAATAAAATATACTTATTCTGATCGCACAGAATCAGGAAATATGCCTCAACATAACTGGTAAATATCATTAGTATGAGCAACTCTCCCCACCTCTTCGAGTACCTCTACATAACGCAATATTACACAAGAAACTGTGTAATACGTTTGTTTATTTACAAATTCCATCGAATACACACAACAGTGGAACCCGGAACAAATCTACAGTTCATACAAATATTTGTTTTTGTGGAAATCGAACTAACCGAACGTAAATAACGTTACTATGAATTGGAAAGTCTCGTGGATCCATTGACTGTAAATATTATTGCGAAACTCTTGAATCTGTATTATATACTTACTACATAATACATCCTTTTTTTTTTTAGTTTATAAAATTAAAAACCTAATTTAAACTGTCAAACACCAAGCGGTCACCGGTAACCGCAACCTATTGTTCTATAATTGTGTCTATAATGATGGTACTCGACGAGTTAATTAACCTGGCTGGCGGCCTAGTGGTCGTGAGTGCAACTGCCGGGTATCGGGTTCGATTCCCGGGTTTTCCTCCTATTTCATGGAACTCATAACATAAATAGTGAAAAGTGGGTGTTACATTGTACAGCGGCATTAGTACCGTAACTGTGCACCTCTGAAAAAGGCGTGGTGTTATCTTGTGTTATGTTTAACTTTTCTAAGTTAATTTACCAACAAAATTAAACTACTTAACCTTGCCTTCATTAAATAAAAATATCTACGTACAGTTAGCCAAGTCATTAGTTAGTATGCAGAAATAAAGATTGATTCAGTACAGAGACAGTAACTATTGTTATACTCAATTGAATACTTTTTCAAGAAGCCATATCTGGCCATGCAGAAGAAGAAGAAGAAAATGCAGAATAAGCCATGTAGGCTGCCCGACATCGCCACAACCGCGCACGCTGCATGAGGAAGAGTCTCTCCGTGGCTCGAAACTAGTAGAACTTTTCTCAGTATTTTCACGTGAGTAACCCGCGATTTTTAACTAAGCCATATCTTGTAATAATTATAAATCGGCTTAATAATAAAACAATAGTTGCTCTGTCACTGTACTAAGTTAATCTGTATTGTCCCACCTGCATACCAGATGCTGACAGTGCGTATTACTGAACCCTTCAGATTAATGAGACTCGCATAAATAGCAATAAGTGGTGTACGCAAAATCTATAGATAGCTGTGTTCCCAGAAAAAAGCGAAGCCGGGTACGCTCGAGATATATTTATTCCGAGTGGTATACGGGTGAAATAATTCGCGACATAAAGCTCAAAGCTACTCTTCACAGGATGTATAAAATTAGCGGTCTAAGATGTGATTACGAAGCGTTTGCCCAATGTAGGACCCAAGTCAAAAATAAGATTTTTATAGCACAGGAGCAATATCGTCAACGCTTGCAAACTCATTTTTCTGAAGACCCTAAGTCTTTTTGGTGCTATGTTAATTCTAAAAGAGGTAAAGCCGGTAGTCATAAGATATTAAAGGACGGAGAGGCCATGACAGGTGAGCAAGCGGTCCAGGAATTTGCTGAATATTTTTATTCTGTATACAGTCCAAAAACACCTAGGTTGGATGTGGATGCAGCGATACGAGAAGCGGGCAGTCAGAACGGCGCAGGGCGAGTTCACCTTGACAGGTTGAGGTTAGATGAAGTGGTTCGCGCTCTTCAGCAACTTAAGCCGAAAAGATCGTCAGGGCCTGATGGTATTCCGCCGTTCATTTTCAGAGACTGTCGTATGGCATTAGCGAGACCGCTGCTGTATATCTACAATCTTTGCCTCAAAACATCAGAGTTTCCAGAAATGTGGAAGATTACCCGAGTCATACCGGTGCCGAAGGGAGGTTCGGGAACTAAAGTTGAAGAATACAGACCGGTTGCAATATTGTCAACTATGGCTAAAGTGTTGGAGTCAAGTATTTATGCGAATGTTTATCGGCAAGTTAGCGTGCAACTCACAGATGCGCAGCATGGTTTTCGGCCAACTAGAAATACAACCAGCAACCTGCTTTGTTACATGGCAGATGTGGTACCAACAGTGGACAGTGGGGGGCAAATCGATGCTGCATATTTTGATTTTAAAAAAGCGTTCGATTTGGTTGATAACGACGTCTTACTTAAAAAATTAGCTGCGGTCGGTTTCACTCCACACTTGCTTAAGTTTATTGCGAGTTATATGAGTGGCAGGCAGCAGTATGTTGACTACGCAGGGCATCAATCGAACACTTACTACACTAGGTCGGGAGTAAGTCAAGGAACAAATCTAGGGCCCCTAGAGTTTCTACTAATGGTTAATGACTTGCCGAACGTTGTTCAGGATGCTAAGTGCTTACTGTTTGCTGACGACCTCAAGCTTTACCTCCCCATCACAAACGTAAATGACTGTGAAAAGCTGCAAAGTGATATAGACCGAGTAGTTGCTTGGAGTCAATGTAATCTCCTGCATTTTAACACGTCTAAGTGTGTGACCATAAGTTTCTCACGCGCACACTCACCCGTCACACATACTTATACGGTGGATGGGGTACCGCTGAATAGGGTCATGGAGATTAAAGACTTAGGAGTTCGTTTTACCTCTGGGCTCACGTTTCGTAATCATATAGTCGAGGTATGCAAGAAAGCATATCGAAATCTAGGATTTGTACTTAGAATGGTTAGAGGCTTCACAAATATGAGAGCTATAACGACACTATATAATGCTTTAGTAAGAAGCCAGCTTGAATGCAATGCAGTGATCTGGGCTCCACATGAAACTAAGTACAGTCTCATGCTTGAACGAGTACAGAATAAATTCATGAGATATAAGTATATGAGAGAGTTCGGGGTATATCCATTCTACCCATTAATGTATCCAACTCTGTTTGTCTTGGGTATGGTTGGATATAATGAACTACAGGTCAGGAGGCAACTCGCATTGGTGACTTATATCTTTAAAATAATTAGGGGGAAGATACACAATCCGGATATATTGCGAAGGGTTGAACTGGTCGTGCCCGATGGATACGTGAGTCGTCGTCGCCAGCCGCGGTTACTGGCAGAACCACGTTCGCGAACTAACTTGCTGCGGGAGGCACCGCTCACGTGTGCGCTTCGCACTCTGAACCTCATTGCTAATGACGTAGACATATTCTGTTGCTCTTTAGGAGAATTTACACGAGCAGCCATGCATAGGATTTGCTATATGTAGTAAAAGCTTATTATATATTCTTTATCGTATTATATTTCTATAGAGTATATGGATATTTCTTGTTTGTATTTTGTTTATTATTGTTATTTTAATATTTGCTGCAATATCGCATTGGGTCTAGCCTGTAAGGATATTTGTATGTTATGTGTGTAAATAAATAAAAAAAATAAATAAATAAAATAAAAAGCCATCCCACAGTGTGGGGAAAGATAGGCCGATCGTATCATACTTCTTATTTCTTCGCAAAAAAGGCTGCCAAATTAAAATACCTGGCGGTCGGGTATTAAGCATTCCAGTCACGTGATGTGGGATGCCGCATCTCACGGAATCCTGCATCTTTTACAACGTTCGAGGTGATGCGAGGTATGTACACTATGTACAGCCAAAAATTTTGCGCCGTAAAACTGCTAAAATATAGGTGATAAAATATTCTACGAAGCCTCAATAAATAAATTATTGAAAGTTTGAAAATATGTTTATTGAATCAAACATCAACTCGTCCACTTGATCAATAAGATGGTAAAATAATAAATATTTGTAAAAATGCCATACAGATTTTCAACCAGTCCATTTCACATACATACGTACATAACCTTACAACCATATTCCTTTGAACACAAAGAAACTTACCGACAGTTAAAGAGAAGAGGTCCGACTTGTCAAGCAGTAACGCGACGTGTGCCCAGCCGAACCTCTCGAACACGCTGCTGAAGACACGAGGCAGGCGACACTGGCAGTACGACATCCTTGTCAACGTCGGATACTTGCCTTTATCATTGAACAACGTTTGTGGCTAGAGGAAAAGAAAAAGTCGTAAGTAAAAATAAGGCTAAATGATGACTTTCTTGAATTACTGTTTGTCTACTAGGTTCAAAATACACTCGGAGATAATTATGATGACTACGTCCTATCCTCGAATTAAACTAAGTAGGTAAATATGAGTACCCCTTTGTATCATATTAGTACGTCATCAATTTTGGTAGAACAGCACCCATAGTCAAGTGTTTATAATATAGTATTTATAATCCAAACAAAAATAGGCATGAAGATTGTTTATGTTTTGCTTCTAGATCGTTAATGATCTCAGATGTCAACTTGGCTACAGGTTGACGTCATCATTTAAGCAACGACACGACGTACACTGCTAGAATAATGATATAACTACGCATAAATCCATATACATATATTGTAACTATTTGTATTATAAGGAAACTACATATTACTGTCATTAATACTCACTCTAGTGCCTTTGCGCAGATTTCTGAGGCGATGCATACGACTGACCACACTAGCTGGGGCAGCCAGTTCTCCTTCAGATGGGGGCTAAAACAAAAAGAGAAAACAAATTTAAAGCGTCACCTGCACATTTTACTAATTTCTGATTCTACATCCTTATTTCTTGTTATTTGAAGAGCTACGAAATCCAAAACCATTTTCTTACTTTGCCCGTTGATAAATTCGAGAATATTTTTCCATCTTATCAACATTTATATTATAAAGAGAAGTGAGAAACTGATTGATGTGTCCCGGGAAAGCATTTTACTCGTCCATTTTACTTATGATTCGCAGTAAAAGAAAGTCCATAGTGAAAAAAATAAAGTTGGTATCTACCTAAGGTCTAAATATCTTGTAGTTTAATAAGATATTAAAGAATAACAAATGGAATTTCTTGCTCGTTCTTCTACATTCTAATGTACATTTTGCAAAAAGCACCTAGATTCGCTGACGGACAGACTGCCAGAGTATTATTTATTTTGTATTTGCTGCCGTTTCAAAAGCCCGCTATGTAGAATAAAAATTGATTCTATTTTTGCACACACACACAACACGTCTGTAAGTTGTCTAATCTGTTTAACCGCAAAAGCAGCTGAGGTCAATCTCCCCGAAAAATATATGCGGACCTCATTGTAGCCTATTGTCTAACGTAATGCCTAAAAATACTGTCTCGTCGACAAATTGTAACTGGTGGTGGGTGGAACAGGTGAGTTGGATATCATTGGAAAGGTCCTGGTTTATCAGAGAGCACTGATGTCTAGTCTCAGTCAAATGTGTAGTCCCTCAGTCAGCTAGCTCTTACGAAACCAGCAAGAAATCTAGGAATAGAATCAAATATATTGAGCTCTGCTGGTACTTTTTTTTTTTTTTTAAGGGGGGAAAATCATCGAATGACTGCCCCCGCCTGGGTGAGGCGGGAGGGAGTGTCAGACTCTTACTGACTAAAAACCACCCCGTTCCTTCTCCTGCACGTCGAGCCGGAGCCCCGGTTACCCGTTAGGTTCTCCGCGACAGCTCTGCTGGTACTAGAGTATATCTGTGTTTTAAAAAAATTGTTCAAATTAAAGCACCCCCAATCGAGGAGTATGCACGAAGAGATTAATGATAATGAATGTAGATGAAGCGAAAGAAACGTATGCCAGAATCGTGTCATTTGGCATTTGGTTTTCTCTGCCTACTACAATGGAAGACGTGACGATATATATGTATGTCTGCTGGTTGCACAGGACATTTATCAATTAAATTGTCAAATTAATCTCCAAACTAAGCAACATATTTAAATAGTAAACATTTCACTTGTACCACAATAAATAAATGAAATCTAAAATGTTTATAGAAATCTGTGTTTATTATTGTGTTTTCGAGAACATTTCATTTTCAAAGCAGCTTTATGTTCGCAGTGCCTGAGTTTGGAGCACTTTATTAACTGAAATGAATACAAAACCGTTTGTTTACGCCTGCTTAAATCTCGAGAACGTATTCAGGTTTTGTTTGTATTTAATTACGCTTTTAATTTCAGCTATTGATCGTCGTTTGTTTTTGACACGATTCAGTAAATGATAATTAATATAAGGAATTGTGAGTGGATATTTTATTTATAAGTACGAAAAGTTTATTTTAGTAAAAGTAGTAACATACTCTGTTTTTTACCTAATAATACCTAATTATTGTGTAATTTATACTTTTAGTAACAATTATAGATGTGGTTAATTGTAGTGTGTAACTAGGTACCTTCTTTACTTTATTAAAATTGATTAGACGTATTGTAATAAAAAATTGTATGACAAGGGCACGGATCAAGAGTCCGTAGAGAATTAATCTGTAAACCTCTGTAAAACATACTATATTTTATCCTACAGCATTTGGTAGTTGATAATCTCATTGCTGCAATGGAAATCATGTCAAACTCCTTACTACAGTTATTTCAAAATCGGTAGCTCAACCATATGCTATTTATAATACAATTTACATCTGATCATCATCATCAAAAGCCCTTGACATTAACCTAACCCTGGATTACGAACCTCCCCTACATTAGGTGAATGAAAATATTTTAGTAAGTTTATTTAAAGTAACCACCGAATGCAGCAAAAAGTGCTACGCTAAAAACTAAATATCAAATATTTCATCTAAATAAGCATTTGAACGTGCGAATAAAAAACTAGACACATACACACAACGATGGAAACATCTGTTTATTTTAGACTCTTTTTATAACATAAAAAACAAGAAATAAGCTCAGCGTCCAATACTTTTAATAGAGTTGGTAATTGGCTACGTAGTTGCTACGAGTTACTACGCGACACGCTACTCCGTAGCAAATTTCCAACCTGCTATGCGAAGGCCACAAGCACTGTAAAAAACAATACAATATTGTTTTTACAGTGCAATGGTAATAACTACAAACTGTAACATTGTTTCAGTGTATTGTAGATAAATAATATAATATCACGCTATTCCCCCCAAATATCTATAGTCGCGGACTCAGTTTTTGATTGTTACCCTTGACCAAAAAAGTCATTATCAATGATCAAATCAAAGAAATAAAACCATGAACTTATACCTCAGAAGGGACCCATATATATACGACGAAGCAGATCGACAATATAAAAAAAAAAATAAACAAAAAGAGAATCTCATTCAAATCCTGTAGCGAATAAAACCAATAAGATTTCTTTACGAAAAGGAGACAAAATAAAATATCTGTCGTTGTTCGCCTTTAATCACGTCCACGACGAAGGTAACCAGCTCCAATAAGGAAGCTTATTTGCCAAGCAACGTGAAAAAATACAACAGAAACGAAACGTGATATACATCGTAAATCCCAATAGAAAATAGATCTTACTACCATGTTTACTTGGTTGTGAATCCCTTATTGACATGTTAAATCAACGGGTGTACCGTTGCGGTTTGTATTGTTAGCACCTTTATTTTGTTATCGTAAGGGCTTCTTTTGTTGATTGAGATTTTTTGACAGTATTTTTTTAATGAAACATCATTGAATGGAAAACTCCCAATGACCTGATTTTGGCGTATATCTGTTATACCGTCTATTAATTTAGGCCTCTTTATTAAGTCACTAAGGTGAACCTCCTTTTATAGGCTATTTGTGAAATATTCATAAATAGTCACTCTCTATATCCATTTTCTTTTGTTTTGTTGTCCTATATTATACCTATCGACCAGTATTATCGACTAAACCACCACATCATTGTTTACCTTTTTAACACAATTAAAAACACACAAAATAAAATTATATTTATAAGTAATTTGGTCTACAAGGTTAGTTACACTAAGATGTGATTAATTTTTGAAATGAACAGATACAATAACTTTTATTTTACTACTTTTATTACTAGTCTTTTAAGTAAAAGTTACATACTTCATTTATGTCCCATCATCTCTAATACAGAGACGATAATTTTAGAACATGCTACAAGATATTTGATATCTTGAACAAACAAAAACTTAAACAATTAATTCCATTCGATAAACTCTGGATCATATTTTAATTAAAATGAAAACAATAAGGAGCTCGCAAGTAGAAGTGTGCACAGATACAAATACGGGGGAACCTTCGAAATTACTTTCAATTAAGTTTCCTTGAAAACTTTTTCAAGTGAACGCATCGTAAGCATTAAAACCTACGTAGACGAAAAACTTTTGTTCACTGAGGACTAGAGAAAAAAAATAAACGATAAACCTTGTAAACCGACTCAAATGCATCGTTGAGTATTTATTGATAATATAGTTCCTCTGATCAATCACCATGACCGGTGACTTCATTATAGACCTTATTTTCGATATTTAAAGACTACTTAAGTATGAACAAATGTCGGGGACTTTCGGTACGATATATCAAGTGATTTAATCTTGTGATAATGTCAAAGTAAAATACTTTTGTCATGTAATGTTCTCGCAAGTAAAATAACCTGAGCAGCAACACTTTCTGTTAGCTTAAACCTTTTAAACTGTAATCTCTAATCCATTTGCTAAGTAAATTGTGATAAACTTTTTCATGTAGAGAAGGCTCATCAGTCCAGCAGTGGACGGTTGATATATGTATACTACCTTCCTAAACTATACCAACTAACTGACGAAGTGCAACAACAACATCAACAGGTCACCACTGCTGACTAAAGGCCTATTCTTACATCTTACAGGTTTGAGCATTAATCGCCACGCTTGCTCAACGCGGATTGGCAATTTCCAACTTATAATTAGAAATTATAAGGTTTACTCACAATGCTTTACTGTTTTGTCAGTGTTCAGATAATCTTAGAAAATACTTAAAACTCGAAAAAACTAACATTGGTACTTGTTGTTGGTAGGTTTCCGCACTCTCATGCATAAAAAGTGGATGTCTTAAACCTCCAAGCCACCTCGACATAGACACAACAGACGAAGTGCCTCTTAAAGAAGTTGTGTCATGTCAGTTAAACAGAAAAGTCCCTCATCTGTGTAAACTCTTATTGTTGTGCTACAGGGAGCAGAAACATATTAATTTAACTCGTCGAGTACCGGTTTTGTAGACACAATTAAAGAACAATAGGTTGCGGTCACCGGTGACCGCTTGGTGTTTGACAGTTTAATTGCTCGTGATATTGTTCTGCACAGATTCTGTATACAAACTTCTATTCTACATTGTAGCAATATCTTTGCTTAAAATATTTATTGACTCGAGCAAAGACTTTGTATAAGACAATGTATGGTTGTAATTTAGTTATAATATTTTTAATAAATACAATAACATGTAGACGTAAGGATTGAAATCGTCTAGTTTGCTATTTTATTGAAACAAATTTGAAATAAATTTTATTACTCTGTCACTGGTATTGGTTTTATTTCTTTTAACATGTTTATTGCTATGCTTACAAGATCGATTAAGATAGAAGACTTCTATGGACGTCCTAACTACACTGTACATTAGGTTAACTAAGTCATCGTATTACTTAAACAATCTATACCATATGACTGCAATAGGGGTGATATTTCGAAAAAAAAAACAATTGGAAGGTCGATGCACCTAAATAAATAAATAAAATAAA